CTTTCCCTAGGACACACACATTTCTTTTTCTTCTTTTGAGCTTCAAGGACTTCTCTCAGAACATGGGACTTCATTCTAAGTCGGGCTCGGCCAATAATGCGTTTGTACTACTACAGAATATTCTAATTCACTGGCCAATGAAGTCTTGGCAAATATATGTTGTGATACTATGAGATAAGAATAATTGGGATTTAAAAGGACAAGGGAACTTCCTTTTCACAACATAACTCACACCTACTTTCCCTTCAACACTCATTCCTCCGTGCAAATGGTTCATAAAAATAATCACTAACATGCTTATCCTTAGATTGTGCATATCATCTTTACTAATAAACCCATTTACTTTTGTGCAAATTTGGTCACGTTTCATATACTTCTTGTAAAGGCTTAGAAGCAAACAACCATTATTATTAGATGTTAACAAATAACAACGTCAATCAAAGTCTGAATCACAAACTCACATCGGACATCCTAAAATCACGCCTCTTAAAATCTTCATGGTAAAGCTCATTTCAACTTGACTATTTTAAATAATGGTTCATAGCATGAGACAGAGGCAAAATCACTTTTTTTTTTTTTATTAGTTTGTTACGTACCATTCTCCTTTTCACCCATACATCAGTAATAGGTTGATAGAAAAACCATGAATGATTACTTTTGTCATTTTCTCACCCAAGCCAAACTAACAATAGTTGATCAAAATCCAATAATACAAACTATTGTTCCAAACTTCCAATCAATCTTAAATTTGGATGGTAGCACTTCATAGATATTGGGTTCGGCTTTGTTCCAATCCAATGATGGTAAAGCTAGAAGCCACTATTTATAAGCTCCGTCTTTGTGGACTTGTCAATGCTTTCTACCCTACTTTTTTGTGACTTTATTAATTAATCAGCAATGTATGAAAGACATTAACCATTAGAATTTGATACTAAGTGACAAGAGGTTTATGTCTTGGAATGCCCTAGAATCACGTGATTCTCACGCATGGTTGTGTTCCCCAACATAAGGAGATGGTATGCCATATATATTCCATACCTTCCCTTTAGAGCGTGTTTAGTTAACAATTTATCCAATTGAATCTATATTCAACTCAATCCATCATACTTGTTACTTCTCTTTTTGTGTATTGGAATGTACAAAATTTTCATTCAATAAGACGAATTTTTAAACATACATTTAGTTTTATATCATTAAACTCAATCCATCATGTTTATTACTTCTCCATTTGTGCATTGGAATGTACAAAACTTGTGTTCAATATCATTCAAACGAATTTTCAAACATCCTCTTAGTTTCCCGTCATTTTCCACAACTACTATAATATTGTGCTTCGTTGGTTAATAATCCATAATTGTGTATTGATAATATTGGGAAAAACCCAAGTCCCACATCGACTAGAGATTAGGCAATTGAATAGTATATAAGTGGAAAGCAACCCTCACCTTACAAGCCGGTTTTGTAGGGTTGAGTTAGGCTTAATCCACTATTCTAACATGCTATCAAAGCCATTTAGATTCACTTTAAAAATGGGCCACCTACCATTGATGCATGTCTCATAGGCATGAGGGGGTGTATTGGGAAAAACCCAAGTCCCACCAATCCTAGATCATTAAAAAGGGTCACCCACTATTTATCCACGTACCAAGCCTGATAGTGCTGGACGTTTGTAGGGTTGAGTTAGGCTTAATCCACTATTCTAACATATAAGTCACTTTCATATGGATCTAATCCCAATTCTGCGTTGGTAGACTACAGTTTCCGTGCAGAGAATTGTTAGGTTACGATAGTACTTATGGTTGAGAGGAGTGCTACACCGTTTACTTGTGGTATTCAAATGCTCTAGTTAAAGTCATATTTGGACCCCCAAAAAAGAGTCATATATTGTGTTAAATAGATACTATAAGGGTCATAACTTGTACTTTGAGCGGAGGAGACATTATTTTTTGTAGCATCGCACTCCCTCCCGATTATTTAAAAAAAAAAAAACAAATGACTAATTTATTAAGAATGGTGAAAATAGTTTATTTAATTAATTTTAATCGATAATATTATAAATTTTAATTTTATTTTAAAATACTTATAGAATTAAATGATTGTAGTTATAGTTACATTCAACAATATTATTTTTAATTCAAGAGATAATTTTTCGATAATTTTTCTTATGAGGATAACTTATATTGTTTATGATAATTTTTCTAAAAATAAAATTAAATTAAATTAACTTAATATTTACTTATATTATTAATGATAATTTTTCTAAAAATATAAAATAAAATTAACTTAATATTTTTTTAGTGATCATGCTATTAATATAAAATATTCACCGATTTTATTGATAATTAATTTCCATTAAGAAACTTGAGACACATAGTAAGAATTTAAATTCAATTTTGTTCATATCAACCGGTTAGTTAACTGATAATAAGTCTATTGATTATATTTAAGAAAAAACACTGTATACATTTATGTCACATATATAAAAGTCCGAAGGAGAAATTAGTAATTACCTAGGCATAAGAGATTGGTTGTCATGCTTTCGTTATAAGAAATATTGTGGAAAGTGTTTAACTTAGGCTAAGCACATAATTTGAAAGCAGACCCAGTCACAAGATTTTTAGGTTGATGACGCAATTATGACTGAAATTTCAGCATCTAACTTGAAACCAAGTTATGACCCTAATTGGGTGAATGATGGGTCATTGACTCATTGGGCTGATTCTGGCTACAGGTGAAAACTCGCATCATTGTCTATGCCACATTATTTTTAAGGAATAAATAAGACCAAGTAATGATTGCTCTCTTATTTTTATTTGATTTTAAATTATATTGGGAAAAAAACTAAAGTCAAAACAATGGAACCAAAACAAATAGTTAAACTTGACTCATGTTAAATAATGCAAAATGGAGGGCACAATGCTACTGCTTTTATAGTTGATAAATTCTGTCCATCCAGTTTGTATTACACATCGTTAGGTTTAAGTCTCTTAGCAATCACCATCAATGGGTACTCCTTTGTCTCCTCCACTGACTAGATCAAATAAAGAAAAGCTCCACATACTATCTATCACACATAATGCAATTAACCAAAAAAAAAAAATGATGTTCATTACTATTTGGCGATTTAGGTTACATCACACTTGATGTTAAACTTTTTTTTGCAATGTTGAATTTATTTAGATACGAGTTTAAAAGAATTTTTGAAAACCTCTTTATTAAAAAAATTCTTTATTTTTAATAACTTCAAAACTTGTATTCAATCAGACTAACAGTACTTTAAGGGTGATTGGTGAGCACTGAGCAGCATGGACCTCAACAAGCTAGCACCATGTGAAAAAAGGATAAAAGCCTGGAATAACGGCTAAGTGCCATGTCAAGCTGAGGGTGATTAACCTGAACTGTATAAATTCTCTGAAACAGTATCAAATTCTTCTGAGGTAAACTAACAATTAACCAAGTGACACGCCTCAAGGGACCCTTTTCTTTTGTGAAATGTCATCCTTGACAAGCCCCCTCTCCATGACTCCATTGACTACTCTCACTATGAGTGAACACAATCGTTGGTTGGTGGCATATTATTATTGATTTATTTCATTACTTTTAACTTGTTCTGAACATCTTTTGCAACTTGTGGATAACTCGGGTTCAAGCAAAGCAAGACAAGGCTTATACTAAAAGGGTCATTATCATGATGAATTTCAAGCATCCAATTTATGTTAACTGAGGGTCAAGTACTAGAGATTGCAACGACAACTTTCCCATGTGTGACCGTATGACCAAAAGGTATATCTAATATCACCCATTCGTTGGTGTCCCCACAGAGCACAAATTTTCTTATTCATACATTAAGCATATCGATTCCATGTCCAACTCCATCAATCAAATGCGTGCGTGTGTGTATATATACGTATGAATGCAAGCAAAGCTGTCAACTAGTCCCAAACTAGCTCTAGCATAAGTAGAACTACTTCACTAATCACTACCTGTATCAACCACCAAAGTTTTTCCACTTATATTCCTCCCTCTCACTCTTTTCAAACATCGTAGTTTACCATTTGAGTTGGTATCAATCACGAATGTTCACAAGGTGAGAAAAGGCAAAAGATGGAAGCTGTCAAGTTGGTGTCTAGTGATCCAAGTGAGAGACCAGACACATATAGAGTTGCTTACATAATTCACTTCTTGCTTGGTGCTGGCAACTTGCTTCCTTGGAATGCCTTGATCACTGCAGTTGATTACTTTGCCTACCTCTACCCAACCAAACACATAGAAAAGGTGTTCTCTGTGGCTTACATGATTTCATCTGTGATGGTGCTTCTTGGGATGATCAGTTGGGGAGGTTGGAGCAAAACAACATTGAGGTTGAGAATGAACTTGGGGTTCTCCATGTTTGTTATGTCTCTTATGGTAGCCCCAGTCATCGACTGGACCTCGAGCAGCACCAAGCTGAATGAGAGGCCTAGTGGCGCCTACGGCTTGACAGTTGCAGCGGTGGTGATATGTGGTTTAGCAGATGGCTTGGTGGGTGGAAGCTTGATAGGATCAGCTGGAAAGCTCCCAAAACAGTATATGCAAGCAGTTTTTGCTGGAACTGCTTCTTCAGGTACCAAGGCAATTCATTCTGTTTCCTCCAAGTTCAGTTCACTTTCCCTTTGGCAGATTGTTTTTCTATATTTGACAATATTATAAGGAATATGAGAAGTAGCTATATTAGAAATAAAGAAGTGTTGATCAATACCAGGATGCGTACTTTTATTCTCTTAAGGATATGCAAGCTTTTAAAGGTTTGGAAGAAAATAAACTAATGTATATTCCTGGGTCTCGTTTTCTCAGTTTTTAACTGGGCACTGTATCTATGTGACAAGATCTTTTCTATTGTATTTAGCATATTCTTTCATCTATAATCTATAAAGTAATCCTATCCATCTAGTAATAGAACCATGCTATTACTCACACCAACTGCCTCTTAAATATTAAGTTCTACAGAGTTTAGAAACCGTGACTGACGTTGCTGCTTTTCTTGGTTAAATAAGTTGTACATGGTAAGAGTGATATTGGACGATGTATAGAGACAAAATGATGCCTTAGGTGGGTCACTGACTCACTGATCAGCCTCTAAAGCCTTTACTACAGTAAAAATAAATATCAGTTATCTAAATAGAGCAAATTCAGTTGTACCTTGGATAGTCAAAGTTTTTTCTTGTACAAATGATTATAATCTTTTTTTTTTTCTGGGTGGCAGGTATTATAATTTCGATCTTGAGGATAATAACCAAGGCATCACTCCCACAAACCCCCAAGGGACTCAAAATAAGTGCACACTTGTACTTCATGGTTGCCACCATTTTCCTCCTATGTTGTATTGTCTTTAGCAACTTGCAGCACAAGTTACCAGTGATGCAGCAGTATCATCAGAGGCTTCATCAGGAGAGCACCGTATGCACAGGGACAAAATTTTGGGCAGTGGCAGGAAAAATCAAGGGGGCAGCGTTTGGAATTTTCATAATCTACTTAGTGACGCTGTCTATTTTCCCGGGATTCATTGCTGAAGATCTGGAATCAAAGCTTCTAAGGGATTGGTACCCTATTTTACTGATCACAGTTTATAATTTAGCTGATCTAATGGGGAAGTCATTAACTGCCTTCTATGTTATGCAATCCATCAGAAAGGCTATTTGGACTGCCACTACCAGGCTACTATTCTATCCACTCTTTGTGGTTTGTCTTCATGGACCAAAGTGGATGAAATCAGAAATACCCATGGTGGTTCTAACATTTCTGCTAGGGTTTAGCAATGGGTATCTCACTAGTGTTCTTATGATTCTAACCCCCAAGTCAGTGCCCTTGTCAGAAGCAGAGTTATCGGCTATTGTGATGACGGGGTTTCTAGGGTTTGGCTTAGTTGGTGGCTCAGTCCTTGGCTGGTTCTGGATCTTATGAAGGCCTGCATCTGGTGTAATAAAATGAACAAAAGGCAATAGCATTCATTGTAAATCGTGAGGCAAGAAAACCGCAGTTACTTACCTTGCCACGACTAGGTTGTTTATTTATTTGTTCTCTGTTGTCGTAAGTGCCATATCTAAGGCCAAAGCATGAGAAACGTGGAGATTGTTAGAAAATTTGTAGGTTAGTCATGTACTGTAAGAATCCGTAAACTGAATGGAAGCTAAGATCTGCGCTAATAGAAGCGGTATTTGCAAAGACAGTTTCATCTTCGGAATTCGATCATTTGCAAGTTTTATGAATATCTCAAAACCATCTATATTTTAAAAGCTGAATGGCAAGGGTTGAATCTATCAATGCATTTTCACAAAACAAAACAGCAGAAGAAACAAGTGCACCATTGGCAATCATTATTTGCGTACATAAAACTCCACCGAATACACCTGTGGATCGATTTTGATTTGTTTTATGCCAGCTGTCTAAAAATCAAAATCTCTGACATGCCACCGATCTGCACGTGTGACTAATATAAGACTCCAAAACAGTGGAAGCAGCGTTATTGTTGGACATAATACAAGCATGCCAGAAGAGAAAGGTTTGACAAATCAATCTAATGAAAAAAGGAAAGGAGGATGTCCTTCATTGGGGAGATTTATGAACCTTCTCAAACCCACAGTGGCAAGGGTTGGATCTGGCGCGCCAATTTCACAAAACACAAAACGAGCCAACGAATGCTCCATTAATAAACATTATAAGCAAACATAGATTCCAGCTAGGGGTGGAAATGGGATTTGATCAAAATTAAGAGATGACTTGGGGTTATCAAATTTAAGAGATTTAAAAAATCTATGTCGATTAGTATTAATCAATTTAAATATAGCTTGATTCAAATTGGATCAACCGTATCATATTGGTGTCTATAAATAACATAATTAAAAAATGATAAAATATAAGAAAAAAAATGCGGGAAAAAAGAAATCACAATAGAATTTTAAAAAGTTGATTAATAATCTTAAAGGCTAAATTTTAAAGTTAAAAGTGCATTTGGAAATGCTTTAGATTATTTCAATAATTAACTGAGTTAATTATTGTTATAATCAATTATAATCAAAATAAAAATTTATTTGAGTATATTTGTTAGAATTTAATTTTAAGATATTTAATTTTATTTAAACAAAAAATATATTTTTATGAAGCATATGTCAGCTTAAAAAGAAGAAAACAGTTAAAAAAAATCATAAACAATAAATTTTTAACTTCATAAAAACGTCATATTTTTTTCAAAATAAAAAACTATTTTGATCTCTCCTAGACACACTTGTTATAAAAACTATATAATTACACAACTCAAAAAAAAAAGATTCTTGGAGAATAGTTTAGGTACAAATTGGTTTGGATCAGGTTTGTGTAAACGTGATATCTGAACCTCAATCATCTAACGTGCAGTTTTAAAATTCAAAGTAAACATGATATGAACTAATTAAAATTTTCTCCTATTTATTCGGATTGATCAGTCTCGGATTTGACCAGCCCTTACCAGCTGGCCTAAAATCAAAATCTGCCACCCATTTGCTCAGGTGAATAATATAACTCCAAAATTCTGCTAGCTGCGCTGTTCTTGGACATAATACAAGCATTCCAAAAGACGAAATCAAAATGGTAAAAAAAAAAATATATATATATATATATATATATATATATATAAAAGGAAAGGAGAATGTCCCCCGCATCTTTTTTATTCTCCTTTATCGCCACACGAATCTACATGGATGACGAGGACAAAAACCATTATTACAACAGTTGTCATCGGCCAAAAATATTACAAGGTTAAGGTAGTATAAACAAAGGTTAGCAAGTCATATACGAAGAAGCCAGACACCAGCTTAAGAAGCAGCAGCTAAAGGAGGAGGCGGTGGTGGAGCAGCTCCAGCTCCAAGTAAGAAACTGGGAGATTTTTCAGACGAATCTTCTTGCTCTACATCCTCATCATCTTCTTCAGCGTCCCAAAGAAAATGAGCGTAGGACGCCAGAACATAGCTACAAACACAAACCAGGCGTTTCGTCAATCCACAGAATTAGTTAACCGCTACCGTACTACCAAATTTACATTCTACTCTACCACTAACACAGATTCATTCTCATCTAGGATCATCGCACCCCCAACAAAACAATATACGATCGTCATTTTAACCTTTATTCAAGAACCCCTTTCAAACATAATGAATTTGGTTATCAAATTTGCTTCAGCTAGAATTAGAAACGATATTAACTTAAAGAATTCAACGCAAATAATAGTCAAACAAAAACTATATCCATTATGTACTTGATATCTGAAGCATATGAAGGGGAAGCAACTAAAAGATAATGTTTCTGTAAGCACTTTACTTACCAGTCATCCGGAGCAGCTTTAACCGCTTGATCAAAATAAGTCTCAGCACGCGAAGCATCTTTGTGACTCTCCCATATCAAATCCGCATACATGGATAGCACGTTCCCATCATTCGGACTCGCCAAAATCGCTCTCCCACAATACTCTTCTGCTTTCACATAGTCCCCACGAACCTGCCATCACCACCAAATAAAATAAATACATTAATCAATTTCTCATCCCTCAACAACAGAAACCGGTTAACCTTCACTTCACGTACCTCCTTCAAGTACCTCGCGTAGTTGCTCAGAAACAGAGGGTTCCCGGGATTCGCCTCGATCATCGTCCGGTAGTAAAAGTCCGTGCTATCATTTCCGTTTCCGTTCGAATCCCAAAACCCCGAACCGCCGCCGTCACCGCTGTCCCATCCTCCTCCGGCACCATCGCCGTCACCGGAGCCGACTTCGTCGGTCTCGGAGAAGGAAAACAGAGCGGAGCCGAAGGACGGCGTTTTGGAACGCGCGGAGAGGTCGGCGTCGGAGAGCGCACGCGTGAGCCTCGCCGGCGAAGCGTCGACCGGCGAGAGCGAAGTAGAAGAGGCGGAGAGCGTGAGAGAGCGCGTCCGCGGGATCCGGTGAAGGATTTCGGGTTCGAGAGGGGAGTCCTTGGCGTGAGGGATTCGCGAGTTGAGAATCGGCGTGGAGGAGCTTCGAAGAAGCATTGTCGTTGTTGTCATCGGAAACGGTGAAATGAAATGAAACGAAGCCCTAACGAAGAAGAAGAAGTAATAAGAGAAGAACAGAACACAACAGTCGCAGCTGACTCACGTGGTGAATCGTGTATTTTATAGAGATCCGCGGGAACTGATCTCGGCCGTTGATTCTTCATCGAGTGGCGCCCTTTGGTTCGGCCCCACGTGCGGGGATTTCACGTGATGTGGGTCCCGCTTCTGGGATATGAAACCGTTGGATCCGTTTTGGACGGTGGTGATGTGCGGAGAGATGGTGTGCGGGGTGTGGGGGGGAGTGGAGATTTTTTAAAGGGGACTGGTGAAGCTGGGAAACGCTGAGGTCGCGTTCGTCGGGGCCTCTGGCTTGGCCGCATCCCGCATGTCATGGGTCTTGGTTCAGCACCGCCGTTGAAGATTGTTGTGGGCCCCACCTTGATGCCACAGTGACACTGAGGGCATTCATGTCATTTCCTTCTTGATAATTATATTGTCGGCTCTTTCCTCTTCTCCAGATATTTTTATATTTTATTTCCTTTCACGGACAAGGCTCTAGTCTATTCATGTCATTTCATGTTAATTAATATTGACTATAAAACATAATAAAGTCAGAGAGATATTCCTATAAAAAAAATAATAATAAAAACTTAAATGAGTGGTATGTTCTTGCCTTATATAATCACATTTTTTTAACTGATTATTTTAGAAAAGGTTTGGCTTTATTTATGTGTGGTTTTCGAGAACGATAATAAATATTTTATATTTTAATTATTTTATATATTTTTAATTAATATATATTTATTATAAAGCAAATATAAAACAATAAAATAGAAGAAAAAAATTAAGATAAATTTATATATAAACATTTATACAAAAATTATAAAATATTTTTAAATTTTTAAATTAATTATAGAAATTATCTCTAATTAATTTCTTTAAAATATGTTTTAAATTTTTATAAATTAATTTTAATTTGCGAAAGATTATTTTATTTTTTCTTGAAAGTGTTTATGTGCAAGTTTATTCAAACATATTCTTATTAAATTTTTTGAATTGTGAATAAAAACATTACACGACCATTAAAATGAAAAGAAAGGAGTATATAATAATAATAATAAATTGTGATATAAAATATTATATCTTTTAATTTATTACTATGTGAGCTTTGTATATATAGAAAATAAATAAATAAGGGCAACTTTAATTCTTAATTGTTTTATAGCAATATATAGCATGTTCTCATAGTTGTTTAATCTTACGGACCACTAATCGATGTAGAATTCATGAAGTAAATTGTTCATAAACAACTTGAATCGTGTAATTTTGAATTCTCTTTGATGATTTATTCGTGTGATGTGTTTAGAATCCGTGAGAATTAAAGAAGAGGATGCTCAATGCTGAGAGAGATGTGTCCAAAAACTTCTATTATCATGTGTAGATATGTACTTTAAAATTATGATTTATTTGATAAATAATTAAATTTGTAAGTAAAATACAGCCATTTGAAAAACTGAAAAAAACACTCAGAAAAAAAAATCGGATAACAAAGACCAAGACAAAAAATATGGAAATGTTAACATAAAATATATGACATTCAAATAACATAAATTTGGATTTGAAAATTTCCAAAGATCAATTAATGCAAAACAAAAAAAAAAAAAATCAAGAGGACAAATCGGTGAATTTCCACTGGATTAATGCCTACCTAACCCGAACTTGTCCACACAACTCATGTTAATTAATTTGTTTCCAAGAGGGATTATTGAGATGACTATAATGCTATTAAATGTTATTGTTTGTCATATGAAACTACTTCACATTTGTTACTCATTTCTCTTTTTAGGTGTGGTATGTTATTTTTAAGTGGTTAGTGTTGTATTAGTTTTACAACTTTGCATTTCTTTCGATTGTATTTCCTATTTTGCTTGTTGGGTTTAGCTGAAAAGAGTAAAAGGGATTTGGCTATGATTTGGCATGTTGTATTAATGTATTGTAATCGATCTGTGAGCTTAGAAATAGACATATCTTCTCAAATTATAAAGTTAATTTCTCATATCTTGTTGATAGGATTAATTAAGTTATGTCACGAAAATGATTCTAAGAGACATCTCAACCGACTCTTGTCTAGTTGTCTTTGTCTTAAAGTAAAGAATAAGAAAATAAGTTGATAGGAGAGGAGTTCAATCTTAAACTTTTATATATAGGAAAACTTCATGTATGAGTTAGAATACCTTCTATAATTTTTTACAGTAAATTTTATTTTGCTTTTGTGTAAGAATCGGTATGCAATCTTCTGTATAATTTTAAAATGAAATCTTTAAATATATCTAGGCATTTTATCCCGTTTGAAAAATGAATTGCTAAGTAATATTTTATATTCAGTGCTTTGTGTTTGACAATATTATGCGGCCTTAAGAATTTCTACACAATCATTTATGTGATGTATCATGTATGCACACCTCCATAACCTTTGCTAAATACAATAATGTACAATTCGGTATCCAACCCAGGAGTGCTTATTTTACGTTATTTGACAGCTATTTTTGCATAAACAAGGAATGTAAAGAGATTGGGTTTGAATGGTTCTGTTGTTCAATTCAAGTAAAATTTAACGGGTTCAATTGAATTAAATTTATGTATTTTTTTTTTAAATTTAATCTAACCCAATTCAATTATTTGGTTAGATTAATCAGATTAATATAATTTTATTTATTTATTTTTATAAAAATTTAAATTTTTTAAAATAAATATAAATCATTTAATACATTATTATAAATATAATATTACCAACTTATTAAACAAACAATTATACAAATTTAATTTTAAAATAAATTTATTAATTTGTTATATTATTATCAATTAAAAAAACTCAACATTAATTAATACAAAATAAAATTTAAAATAAATATATTATATTATTACAATTTTACTAACTTAATAAAACATAAAATTCGTTATTAAGTAAGATTAATAATGAATATTGTTCCGAACAAATAATCACTCAAAATTTATTATTATTATTATATGATTGAATTGGGTCAGGTATCGAGTTGAAAATACAAAGTTCGATATCCACAGTGTTGAATTTTTGTTAGGTTAAATTAGATTTAACTTAAATATTGAAAAAATTCGAATTTACTATATTGATTTGAGTCAATTTGAATAAACAGCGTTAGAATTACATTACATGAAATTACTATAAAAAAAAAAAAAAAAATCAATTATAGTTTCTACTCAAATATTATGACGTGATCTGAATTGCTAAACAACTATCACGAAGAAAATTTGGCCCTTTCTTTATTCACAAGAAAAATATCAATAGTTCAAAGGTAAAATAAATAAATAAACATTCACTGTGTTATTTATATGTTGAATGTTGATGTATATAATAGAAGGTCACATAGTAACATGAGTGAAATATTGATTATCTTTAGTTTTATTAGTCTAAATAATTGAAAAAAATGTTTTTTCTTTAGTTTTGGCTCATAATATCTGGGCGTTTAAAGAAAGATTTAGTGAACACAAGAACCACAAAGCCCTAATCGCACGAAGGATATTGAAGAGAAAAGATCTATTAATGGTGGTGTAGAAAGATTCCGTGCTATTGGCTATCAATCAAATTCAAGCACCAAAGGCACTCACTCATGTCCTGGTATTGGACAAAGCAATACAGATTTCTCCAGCGGAGTAATGAGAAGGAAGGAAAACATCAAACAGTACATATCATTTCATTAGTGAGCGTTTTGGCTTATTCAATGTTCAAGTTTTTGATTGATTAGTCGTCACTATGGGAGAATGAATGAGACATTCTTCTGTGTTGCCTAACCTCTATTATTAGGATAAAATTTATATGTAATATTATATCTACTTTTTATATTGTTTTCTAATTAAGATTCGAATTTTACCTTCACAATACAACTTCAATCCTGACAAAATTATACGTATCCAAGTTTTATCTTAATCATAATTATAAGTGAAAGTATAAGGACTCTAGCTAAAATATTGTACCGCCTTAGATAAATAACTTTACTTCTTTCATTTCTCTTCCTAAACAATTAAAACATAAGAGTATGCTTGGTAGAAAAAAAAAGTAAATATAGTAGAGAAAAATAAAAGAAAAAAAATTAAGAAATACAAAAAATAACGTGCTTCATAAAAAACATAAAAAGAAAGAAAATAAAAATAAAAACAAAATTTTATTAAAGTTTTTTTTTTAAATTATAAATAAATAGTTTTTAATTATTTAAAAATGTAAAAATTAATTATAATTATTTTATGATTTAATTAGTGATAAATAATTACTTTTAAATAATATTGAAATTTAATATGTTTACAATATACAATCAGTAAAGTTAAATAGTTAGTCAGTGATGTGAAGTACTTTTTTTGTATTTTTTATTTTTAAAATAATCATAACTAATTTATGGGTTAACTATTGCTAAATAATTTAAATTTCAAATATTAAAAAAAGATTAGTGTAAATTACTAGGTAAAAAAATATAAATTAAATCAATTTAATTTAATTTAAAAATGTTCAAAGAAGAATTTAAAAAATGATTGTGTTGCCTTGCACTTTGACATTTTGGGAATAATTTTTCTTTGATGCGACCATATAATCTGCAAGGATCGCATATCTTTCGCTAACCTTTTTCTTTGGTTTCAAGCATGAGTTATGCTACACAGTTCGAAATGATCTCCAAATTATGGTCCAAATTCTTAAAATATTAATATTTTTTAATAAATTTATTATAAAATAATTATTTAATTTAATATTTTATAATTTAAGTTATTATTTTATAGAGGATTTTGGCATTTACGTTCCGAGACTAAATCATTTTCCTTCAAGCATTGAACCCAAGTACTTTGGGTTTTTGTAAACAATTATTAGATATGATTAGTAATAATGGATGATAAAAATAAGTTTTATACTGTATAATGTTAATATAAAGTTATATATTTACTAGTATGCTAATTCACGCGATTCAACTAGGGACATATTGATCTAATATTTTGATTAAGTCAATCATCGATTACATTCTAATAACACTGCTTCTAGGACACCTCTCAAGAAAGTTCACTCTCTACTAGGCATGGCAATCTAACCCGTCCCCGTGGGTACCCGCCCGAACCCGTCCCGATTTGGACGGGGAAAACTCGTGTTTATCGGGTTCAGGTTCGGGTTCGGGTTTTCCCCGATTGATAAAATCGGGGGCGGGGGCGAGGACGGGGATGTTAATACCTGCCCCTATACCCGTCCAGCTTAATAATATAATTACAAAACTACCCTTACATATATAAACCAAAATTAGAAACCCTAGTCTCATTTTTCTTAGAGTTTATTTTTTTTAAAATTATTCATATTTATTTAAAAGAAAAATAGAAGAAAAAAAAAAGAAAAAAAATAGGAGCGGGGGCGGGGACGGGGCGGGAAAACCCGAACCTCGCCGGGGACGGGGATGGGGACCTAGATTTTACCCCCAGCGGGTATCGAGAGCGGGGGCGGGGGCGGGTTAAATTT